ATGTTACTTGGTACATGTTTTATTCCTGGGCAATACTTGAAAGAGTGGGGTGAGGTCCCTACTGACATGTGACTGGCACTGCTTCTGGTGGATGATCCTAGGAAGGCCACAAGAGTCTACCTAGTATAGATCCGGAAGATCTCTGTGGGTCACTAAATAAAGAACAGACCAGAGACATGGAGAACACAACCTCTCTAAACGTTCAGATTTTTCATAAGTCTGAAATTGTGGCTTCATTCCTTCTTGCTCCTATGGTTCTTCCTCCCCTTGATAGACCTTGGGCAGTGAGGTTTGTGCACGCGCACACACACACACACACATGCACACACACACACGCACACATACAGCTGGCTGGAAGCTCCACATTGCCAGGCACAGCAGTGACACTGAGCTGTCATGAGGCACGGATTTTTGGAACTGGACAGATCTGGGTTTTCATTCTGTTACTTAGGAGGTGAGCCTATGTCCTCACATAACAGCACTGCACCAATACCTTCACTTTCCCCAACAGAGCACATACATGAGCTAGACACCTTCTCCACTTGTTATTTCATTTTAATCCTCCCACCAACAAAATGAGGCTGTCCTGATTATTGTCCTGGATTTCTGGGAAAACAAAACAAAGAAACAAAAAACCCTTGAGCCTCAGGCAAGTTCTTGTTCAAGTTCACAAGTGGTTGAGCTCAGAGCTAAACAGACATTCAGATTCTTAATCTCCACTATATATGCCCCTTGATGGCAGAGATCAGCCTCATCTTCATGCCAGAGGGTGTCACATTGCAAGGCTGGGTTGCTCATCTACCTGTGGTCCCCTCCTGCAATTTCCTGGAAAATGCAGACGGGATTCTTCACCCAGGAGGCTTATTGCCCCCACCCCCCACACTGCAGAGGAACTCTCTGACATCTGCTAAGGGAGGGCCTCCCGAGTCTGAGCTCAAGGCTACTCCCTCCCAACAGGTGTTCATCAACCAGGACTGTGAACCTCATGAGGACAGGACCCATGACTGTCAGTTCACGCTCAGCACTTAGCACAACGCCTGGCACACTGCGGGTGTATAATAAACACGTGCTGAAAGAAGGACTCAAGCCTCCCGTCTCCCAAGTGGATAAGGAAATGGGTGCGGTAATATTTGTGAAGCAGACTGGACCTCATTATAGCCCAAGCCATCTGGGATCACTGGTGCTTCTAGCGATCTAACTCTAGGAAGCCAGTCTTGGTAAAATGGGTCCTTGAAGGAGGCTGTAACTTCACACTGATCAGGAGGCAATGATTCAACACAGCCTTCCAGGGCCATGGTCCAGTTCAACAGCAGGCTGACAGGCATCAGGAGGTGACAGCCATTTCGAAAATTGACATCCAGCTCTCCTTATGACATATGGAAAAATTGAGACTGGAGGTGGCGTCACCCGCTGTGACAGGGGTCTTCCTAACTGGATGGGGTGGCTCCTGATTCCAGACACCCCTGCCACACCAGTCTTCCACAGCATCCCTGCTCCCTACTTGAAGCCCAGCTTGCTAGCACGCATTCTTTAATCCAGAACCTGACACAATTACCTTTTGGGGTCAAAGACCGCTTTGAAAGCCTGGTGAAAACTAGCAGCTGCCTCTCCAGATATTCATAGGCGTATGCACAGGAAATTCTGCACACAATTTAATGGGCCCCTAGATACCTCAAAACCACCACAGTCCCATCCCCACAACAAGCCTGGCCTCATGCCTGACTTGAGGACCTTGGAAGGAAGGGCCTCTCCAAACTGCAGCAAAGAGCCTGGGAGGGCCTAAGGACAGTCCGTAAAAATGTTTAGGGAACCTGGGCTTTAAACCTGGATCACTGCTTTTATGAATTCGGCAAATGAAGTAACAGACGTTAAAAGCAGTACGCAGGAGACAGGGTCAGAGTCCCCCACGCGGCCCAGAAGGCGGTGAGGGAGGAGCAGATGATGAGGACGGAGGAGGCCTGGCTGCTCCATTTCCCAGTCACGTGCTCCTGACCAAGGCCTCTCCCCCCAGGTGTCAATTTCCTCCTTTCTGCCTGGGGCACTTAGGGGAAGGGACATTGAGTGCAAGTCAGAGTGTGACCACTGGTGACAACCATCTGCGCGTCCCCCATTCTGTTAACCTGGGCAAGGCTGTCGGCTTTCTCACCTGTGAAACAGTCATAGTAATAGTGCCCCCCTCCTGCAGTGTTGTCACCATTAAGGACGTGAGTGCTAAGGCCTGTCACACTATGCCAGCCACATAGATGCTGCTCTTACCATCACTGCCCAGGTTTCAGAGGGCCTTGGGATAGGAAAAGAACGCATGTGTAGAGACCTTCAGCAATCATACCAGTGAATTATTCAGCACATCGTAAGGTGGGCACCTGCCACATTTTTAAGTGAACAATGAAATCTTCAGACTGGTGACCAATGCTCGTAACCTTCACCCTTAAATGCAGAGAAGAGGTGAAAACAAATGAAGATCCCACCAGTCATCATCACAAAACTGTCTTTACTAACAAAACCAAAGAACCCCACACACTTTTTCCGACATCAACTATTTTTTCTTCCAAATTTTAAAATGGTATTGTGCACACACGTAGTTGTTTCAACTCAGACACATTTTGGAGGACACAACGAAATCAAGAAATCATTGTGAGATGTTTTGAGATCTAAATTCAGACCTACATCTATTAAACTGACTTCTGTGAGTCCTCTGCTCCTTGGCGTGGATGCCATCACTCTTCCGCCTTCAGGGACCAAGAGCTGGAACTGTCCTCAGGCAGCAGCTACGTGCCAGACGCCAGGAAGCGGGCTGACGTGGAGTCACAGAGCTGCACATCTGTGAACATCTAGTGGGTAAGTAGGAAGGTGTCAACCCAGCTGGGTTAAAAAAGAAAAAACCGTAAATAAAATCTCCGTTTATTCCACAAGTATTTTATCTTTCCCTCAGTACATTAGTCAGAAAGAAGCCTCGTGCTTATTTTTCAGACCTGGTGGGATGCCCAGGTGAGTCACCCTTGCTGTTTCTGGTCTGGAGACACGTGGCCAGAACCAGGACTTCCATGCGCTCCCTCTGGCTGAGACAGGCACAGCCCCTGTGCGGTCCCGCTGGCCTCCCCTGACAGAGCTTACAGCCGAAGCCCTGAGTGCCGCCATGAACGAGGCAGGCCAGATCTCGTAAGCTGTGTGTGTGCGGTTTGGGTGAGGTGGGTGGGAGGGAGGGTTGTTTGGCTGGGCTGTGACACCCGGTGGTGAGCTCTCCTACCAGATACTCCCCCTCAACTCATTCAGGACAGCATACTGTGCCTGAGAAGTTCCTGAGCAGGCCCAGGGAGTTGGTGAAAATAGAACCATGAGGGTTTATACTCATGGAAGCTATCCACCTAGTTTGAGAGAAAATAGTCATGGGTTAGAAACAAGTATCTGCAATGAAGGGACCCATGAGGCATCATCTAGAAACTGAAGGTCATGTTAGGGTGCCGGCCCCACAAACAAGGCTCAGCAACATTCCGAGAATTGCATATGCATGAAGGAGATTTGTCTTCTACATGGATATTCATGCTCCTTTATGAAAGGAGTGGACATGAGGGCTGATAAATGATTGGACGGTCCCTTACAGACCGGGACCAGATGACCAGAGAAACCTGCTTTTAGTCTTTTACAATCCATGCCTCAGCTCACAAGACGAGAAGTATGTAGAAGTCCTAGGCTACTCGTATTGTGATGACAAAAGTCTTCTAAAAACTGAAATCCACATGACAGAATTATTGAGGGTACAGTAATCGAAATGAATGTCCATTTTTTTTTTTTTTTTTTTTTTTTTTTTAGATAAAACATGTCAGACAAACACCGTCATTTTCTTGGTTAGAACACTATGTTTCCTATATGCATAAATGCAGACTAGGCCTTTTATGGTTAATATATTTCATCAAATATGAGATTTCAATCACCCAAAAGTGTGCAAAAAGTGACTACTCCTCCCAAATTTACACTGTGATAAGTTACTGAATTTTGAAATAAGTTTAATTGCAGGGACATGGGAACAGCTGAGTATCTTTCCACTTATCACCATCTGGAGCTGTATCCACGGAACTTATAATAAGTTATAATGCTGATAAAATTGAGGTGCAGTCTGTTTTAATATAAACCAAATCTAGAATTGCCAATGCTTAGTCATTGCTGTTTGATTTACAACATGGTCATGAAAAGGCTTCCCTTGAATGTTCTGATTATCATGAAGTCCACTCCCCAGGTGTCCACTGCTTGGGATTGTAAGGAGCCTCTGGAACTTCACGTGGGAGCCGGAAACCCCTGCTGGGAATAGGGAGCCCCAGCTGGCCAGCAATGCATGCCCTCTGGCCTCTTAAAAGCACAAAGGGTGAACACAAAACACAAAGAGGGAGCGTTCAAGCACCTTGCGCAAAGGCTCAACCCCTGCCCCCAACCATTCCAGCAAAACTCCTTTAATTTGGTTGCTTTTCAATTTTTGGAGTGGTCTTTCCTTCATGCTTGTCTGAAAGGTTCTCATGGAAAATGCTGAAGAAGTAGCACTAGGATGTCACCTTAGAGATTGTTTCTGATAGATGAGAGACATACTACCTGACTATTCCCTGTCAGTACACAAGACACCTCACTTTAAATATTATATACAGAGAAGTGGCCGCTGCCGTACCCTCGTGTACGGTCAGCTCTGGGCTCACGGAAAGAGAAGGGCTTTCTGTTTAGAACAACTTACATTTGCAGACAACAAACACCAGAAACATGCAAATGCTACACAAGGCTGGACGCGAAGAATTCATATTTGACACCAGTGAGGGGAACACTGTTACAAAACGCCAAAGGGATGGTTTCTGTCGTTCATGCTCTAACTTGAGGGTCTCTGCAACGAAGGGGGTGCCTGTGAAGGTGTTTGCTTCTCTTTTTTTTTTGTTTTGCCTTCTTCAGGATTCACAGTTGGCTCTGTGTCAGGCACTAAGCAATCTGGCTTTTGGTCCAAACAGGTAGGTGTCTTAGCGGTCTCACTGCATCTTTTTATCCCTCTGCGAAGGGGCAAGTTCAAATGCTGGAAACCGTGATGTCTCTGGTACCAGGATGTCGGAGAGAAAGTGAATCGCCCCAGCCATGCCTGCAATGTAAAATGTAGATCCTTTTAGGAAAGGGCATGAGGGTAGAGTCTGAAAGAAAGTGGCCCTTAATCATTTCCTTTACCAAGGGCTGGAGGGATGTCGGAAAAGGTGCTGAGGATTTTACAGATGACTTCATAAAAAAACCAGAAAACAGTTTACCTCAAAAATCCTTATATCAGCACCCAGCAGGCAATGATACCAGTTTTCTTCCCTGCCTTACCTTTCCTAAAAATTGGGTTCTGGGTTTTAATCCTGTATCTTGAAACTTTACGATGAGCGCACAGAACAAATCAAAAAAGTTATGGGTGCTGCTGGTGTGCTGTTTTAACCATAAAACTCCCTCTCTCACAGAAGGCTGCATTTCATATCTTCTTAAAGTTTTAAGAATGTTAATTTTTTTAAGTTTTTAATTTTAATTCCGTGTAGTTAACATACAGTGTTATATTAGTTTTAGGTGTACAATACAGTGATTCAACAACTCTACACATTTCTGTGTTCATCAAAGTAAAGTGTATTCTTAACCCTTTCACCGACTTCACCCCCCTGCCACGGACTCAGCTCCGCTCTGGTAACCATCTGTTTATTCTCTATAGTTGAAGATTTCTTTCTTGGTTTCTTTTTCTTTTGTTTTGTTTCTTAAATTCCACATATGAAATCATACAGTATTTGCCTTTCTCAGACTTATTTTGCTTAGCATAATACTCTCTAGCTCCATCCATGTCATTGAAAAGATTTCATTCTTTTTGATGGCTGAGTAATGTCCGTGTGTGTGTGTGTGTGTATGTGTGTGTGTGTACTACTTTCAAATGTATGCTACCTGAAAATGAACTTTATTTTCATCAAAATCCACACTCCAAATCATCACTGCAGTCTGCACCAGCAATGGGCTTTCAACTGACCTATGGAGGGTGGGTGAGGAAGCCTGCTAGCTGGCTCCAGTCTCCAGACCCCTCAGGTCCCTTTTCAATAGAAAAATTCCTCCCTTAATTGGATTATTGTTTGCTTATAGTTCTTCTTTTGATGTAAAATGTACATGCAACGAAACACACAAATCTTCAGTGGACTCACTCTGAATTTTGACAAATGTGCATACACTCGTGTAAACTAAACTCCTATCAAGAGATGTGGAAATTTCCATTACCACCCTTAGAAGTGCCTGTCCCTACCATCAACCCTGATGTGGACTGGTTTGGCCTGTTTCAGAACGTCCTGTGAATGGAGTCACATAGTACTCCATGTGTCTGGCTTCTTGCCTCAATGATTTTGCAATTCATTCATGCTTTGTGTGTGTCATTGGCTGTTTTCCTACATTTCGGTTGTTCCCAGACTTCCCTGTAAGTTTTTGTTTGAAGGAAGGGTTCTAGGAAACCACTGACTTATTAGAACCCTCAGGAGGGGTCCTAGAGTGGCCAGGCTGAGATGACCTTTGTTCTCTTGTTTTGGTGAGGGGGAGCAGCGGATTCACCTAGATGGAGCACTTGGGACGGAGAAAGTTCCAGAAGGGGTCATGGATGTCAGCATCCCTTTCAGCCTAGTAGTCTCCACACACGTATTCACTGTTACTACTTACCACCCATCCAACAAGAATCTATGGAGAGCCTACAGCCAGGCACTTGTGAGACACAGGGGAACAGATGAATCGGAGACCTTCCCAGCCTTTACGGAATTGTACACTCAGACTTTGACCTCCTGGGGTTTTAGCTGCCATTAATAAACTTGAATGAACTCCATTTAGAGTTCAGGTATCAACTCTGTTGTATCTGATGCAAATACACTGCCGTTTTATGATGTAAAAGACTAAAATTTTTTTCTGAGAATTATTTTTTAATTTTTTTTTTTTTCAACATTTACTTATTTTTGGGACAGAGAGAGACAGAGCATGAACGGGGGAGGGGCAGAGAGAGAGGGAGACACAGAATCGGAAACAGGCTCCAGGCTCTGAGCCATCAGCCCAGAGCCTGACGCGGGGCTCGAACTCACAGACCGCGAGATCGTGACCTGGCTGAAGTCGGACGCTTAACCGACTGTGCCACCCAGGCGCCCCTCTGAGAATTATTTTTTTATTATGATTTCTTTGAATATTAAAAGGATATTATCCTGTGAAAGATAAGAGCAAATGCTCTACTTTCTGCTCATATTTCTAACATGTGATTAAAAAATACTACCAATAGCAGAAATAGAACAGGGCATTTCACTACAGACAATTCAGACGTAAGAGGATAATAAAGAAGTACTATCACAGCTTTACACACATAAACTTAATGCCCTAGGTAAAGTGGAGCAGTGTCTCAAAAGCACAAACTGCTGAAACTTACCAAATATGAAATTGATAACTTGAACAGCCCTATAAACTACTGAATAAACTGGACTTAGAGTTTAAAAACTCCCCAAACAAAAAATCTTTACGCCATAATTTAAGTTAGAATTAACACCAATTCTTCCACGAATTAATACACTGTCTTTTCCAGAAAACAGAATATTTCTCAAACCAGTTTAGTAGGAATTAACTCTGATACCAAAACCAGACAAAGATGGTGCAAAAAAGGAAAAGTCTAAGCCAATATCTCTCACGAATATAGATGTGAAAATCCTCAACAAAATATTAGCAAATGAAATTCCGCAATATATAAAAAGACCAAGTGAGGTTTATCCCAGAGATGCAAAGCTAGCTTAATATTTAATAATCCATGATGTTAATAAGCTAAAGAAGGAAAAAAAAATCACATAATCGTATCAACTGATGCAGAAAAAGCATTTGACAAAATTCAACACCAATTATTTGATTTAAAAAAATATTCAATCATTTATACCTTCTGAAGTTTACTTTGGAATTAATATAAGATGTACCTTTTAGAGCAAGAAGTTATTAAAAGTTATCATCAATTTATCCTTTGCCCTTTGATTTCTGTGGCTTAAATGATAAATTACCCAATTCACACACACACACACACACACACACACACACACACACACACACACACAATATAAATGTAAAAAATGTAGGAGTCCTCTTCGTAGGATTTCTATTTTGTTTTCCTGAATTTATTCTCTAGCTTGTAGCAGAATTATTGTATTTGATTTCCTGTCATTGCTCATTCTTCAGAACTTTCTTCTGTACGCTATTATTTTTACCAACTACAACTACTTCTAACTGCTAATACTGTCGAGTTACTAATATCAATTATTCATACTTATTTATATATCTAAAATAGTTAAATGTATTTAAATAACTAGATATGTTTCCTGTGAATAGATCAATATTATACGTACACAATATAACAGATGAAATGCAGAGGAGCAAACTTATTATTTCTTCTATTACTGACTAGCAAACATCCCATGTTCTGTCTGCATGTAGTCTTGACAAAAGATCAAGAAATATTTGAAGGACGTTCGCAGGTACACAAAATAAGTAAGGCAAAGAGACTCATAATTTTCAGCAACAAACTACTTGGTTCAGGTTATTTTATGGTTGCGGAGGTATTATTCAAGTAAGAATAAATGGACTAGAACCAGTGCACAGAGACAGGGGGACCAAATTCACCCACCCCATATTTAAACCTAGCTTTTTTGCTCGCTCTTACCTTCAAAGAGAGAATAAGGTCTGTCAGGAATGCGGCACCCATGTGCTCCATATTCTAGACACCACTCTGCAAACTAAGAGGAAGCATATTTAAGAGCAGAGATTTCACTTGGTGAACAGGCAACAAACCAGACATTGCAATGAATTCGCCAGGAATCTAATAAAGAAGATTCCCAGGCAACCAGAGAGGGGTCAACAGGGCACAGACAGGCTAGGGCATGGCTATGCCAGGAGAAGCAGGGGAGACCGTGGAGTTGGGAGAAACAGGTTAAGAAAGGAGAGGAACTGTATTTTTGGATTTTGCGTACGCTTTCCCGAGTGTTCAAATGTTGTTTACATAAAGACTCCTTACTTTGCAAGCTCGGTAGAGATACTTTTTGTCCTGTGTGAGATGGTACAGGGACAGGAAAGAATAGCCGTTCCCAGCCGTCCCATGGCAGATACCATAGCCCTTGCGAAGCAAACCTCGCTGCCAAATCACATCACTACACTCCATGGCTTCTTTCAGGTATTTCTCCTCCTTAAAGACCTGGGCAATGAAAAGTAAAGCAGTGTTAAAAAGATGTTTTGAGGGGCGCCTGGGTAGCTCAGTGGGTTAAGCGTTTGACTTTGGCTCAGGTCATGATCTCGCAGTCTGTGGGTTTGAGCCCTGTGTTGGGTTCTGTGCTGATAGCTCCAAGCTTGGAGCCTGCTTTGGATTCTGTGTCTC